CTCGAATGCTGAACTCAAAGGATCGCCCGCTCGGCCTCCAGAGTGCTAGGATTGCAGGCGTGAGCCCATGCTCGGCCCTGGAGAAGATTCTTGATCCTCAAAGTGTGTGTAACCAAGCGCAGGGCAGGAAGTTGTTTTAAAGACCGTAGGAGAAGACAGTTGGAGAACGTGTTGTGCAAGACTGGTGAGCTCCTGGCTGGCCAGCTGTGGGTGCCAGCAGAGGGGAACGCACCCCACAGGGCACTGGCAAAGCTTGCGTGAGGGTGCTGAGGGGGTGAAAATGCAGGTGGGCGGCCACCGGCAGCACGGTTGCCCGGTGGGTGGCTTTGGTCAGCAGCGTCTGCAGCCACTCGAAGAGTAACAACATTCGTGACCACATACCACGTAGAGAAGGGGAGGGAAAACCAACAAGCGGCGGCTTTTTGCTGTTTTTGCGTGACCAGGCTGAACATGGCTGTCGGGACTCATGTCAGTCTTTGGATTGTGCCTCCGTGCCTGCCACAGTCCCGGGCACGTGGTGGGTGTTGGTGAAGGCGCGTCGAGCAGTGGATGCGTGCACGTGTGACGTGTGCACGGCTTCCCCAGGGCAAGGCGCTGCCTCCGCGCGCTCCGCACCCCGGAGAGAAGCGCGGCTCAGCCGCCCAGCAGAGCAGCCAGACTGGTGGCTTGAACGGCAGAGATTCTTTCTTATTCTCACGGCGCGGCAACCTGGCTTCCTTGGAGGCGTCTCTGCTTAGGCCGCAGTGGCATCTTCCCCTGGTCTTCCCGGGCCCTTGCCTCGGTGCCGTGTCCTAATCTCTTGCTCTAAGGAGAACCCCCCAGTCACATTAAATAATTGCTTTTTATTCTTTGCTCTGAACTCTGATGACGCAATGGGTACGGAGGTGAGAGAGAAATGTATTCTCCCTGGAGAGATTCATTGGTTCATTCAACAAATATTGATTGGGCAGCCCCTGTGCTGGGTGCTGGGGACAGAAGAGAAACCAGGCACAGCTCCTGCCCTCCAGGAGCTCAGGCTGTGGCTGGGGGAGAGCTGAGGATTGCAGTCCACGTGATTCGTGCTGAGGTGCAGCGGGATCCCAGAGGAAGGCGCTGGAATCAGGTAGGTTCCATTGCAAGAAGCAGAGACCTTTCCAGATATTCTAATTAGAATGAGGAAATTTGGTATTTACAAATCTCTGGAAGGGCTGGAGGGTGGGTTCTCAGTGGAGTCTCCAGAATGACTCCCGAACACCACCGACTGGCACTCTAGAAAAGCATCCACCCCGTCACTGTCATGGCCATTCCGGGGACTCCTGACTTTGTGTCACTGTCCTGCTCGGAATGTTGTGGGGAGAAGTTCCCCAGCTTCCAAGGCTGGGATGGCCTGCCAGCCTCGTCACTATGTGGTGCTACAGCCACTCCAGTGACTCTGGGCATCTTGTCCTCTGAGATGAGAATGGCCATAGTCCCTTTTCATGATTCCTGAAAGAGTGGGGACGCATTGTCACCGCCTGATTTGTGTCACCCCTATTGGCCAAGCCACACTTCATTGGTGTTTGGTTTCCCTCAAGCCTGGCGGGCCCACGGCTACCGTGGTTCAGGCACCTGGCTCTAGCCGCTGTGGCCAGGGGAGCGTGGCCAGATTCCCGGGGAGGGGGGCCTGCAGGGTGGCAGGCCCTTGTGAACCTCCTGGCAGGATTTTGTGGCTGCCGACACCACCAGGCAGTTTATGCTTAGATAGTAAAGCTGATATAATCACAACTGACCTCTGCTACCCAGAAGTCTTTCTGGAACAAAGCAGGCAGTAAATAAACAAACACAGACCAACCCAAAGTTGAATGGCACTTTACAATGACCAAACACGTCTGTCATTTTTTTCTGAAGGACAAAAGACAGACTCTTCTCCAAACCCTGACAATTAAAAGCAAAAGCAACATGGCTTTCATCTCAAGTGTTAGCTCTTGATAAATAAAGGAAGAGCAGTGGTTTGTCATTTCGCTGCAGAAACTGCTGGAGATGGGCTTGGCAAATAAGAGAAAATGGTCATCAGGAAGTGAGCACACAAGAGGGACCCTGAAGGAGTAGGCTGTGACCCAAGGGCCCTTAGCCAGCAGCAGTGATATAGGAGCAGCACCAGCAGTGCCTGGCATACAACTGTGGAACAGAGATTCTCAAGCTGCATGGCCAATGTGTGCTGCATAGTGCAGTTGTTAAGATCCTTGCCCCTAGAGCTGCTCTCCCTGGGTTCAAATCCCAGTCCTACTGCTTCCCAGCAACAGGGCTTTAAGCGAGCTGCTTCACCTCTATGTGCTTCAGCTTCCTCATCAGTAAAAGGGGGTAGTAATGGCACCCCTATCCAAGGGTCAGCGTGAGGACTAGTGTGATTGACGTGTGTGGTCCCTTAGGACAGGACCTGGCAGCTAATATGGATCGGCCGTTATTCCAGGCTCCAGCATAAAATGTGGGATAAGAAGTCAGCACCTATGGGAATTTACAGCAGTGGAAGGGGCAGGTTTCTTAAAAAAAATCAGCATTTAGTTACAATTGAGATACATGCTTCCAAAGTACAGAGTGTTTTGATTAGAACAGAATCCTAATGAGCTTTGACTGTTGCTATGTAGGGGGACAGGTCCAGGGATTTGTGAGAAAATGTACCCATTTCTCAGGTATTACCATTAGACTTTTCTAGAAGGATGTCGGGGAGCTCCCGGAAAAGGAGAGCAGGAAAGTGGAGGAGCTCAGAAAGGCCTGGAAACAGGGGACAGCTTGGCAGGAAGGACCCATGCTTTCAGCTACTCTCCCTCAGCAGGAATCAATACCATTTTTGTCCCTGCAGAAGATTCTAATTCCAGGGTGAGGGCACCAGGCTGGCCTGAAGTCGCCTATGAGAAGAACAGCATCTTGCTGGACATCTCCTGAGACAGAATCTCCCACGTTCCCCCGTGGGCACCAGGCAGGCCCAACAACAGCATCCCTGTGGAGGGACCATTAGGCCAGGGGTTCTTGGCTTTCGTGTGCCTTAGAATAATGTTTTTAAATGTATAAAACACACCGGATTTTAGGACAACAATGACATTGAAATATTAGAAAGAGCAAATAGGTGACATAATAGTATGTGTGCTTTCTTTTGTTGACTCTTTAAATAACAGGGTCTAGCGGTGGCCTAGTAACCACTGTTACTTTGAAGTACAGAAGAGCGTGAACAATATTGGAAAGTTCTGTAGCAATTGTAATGTCACGAAAATATCTGTGATTGCTGTTGGGGACAAAGTCACAGGTACTGCTAACGCCACCAAGGTTGGCTGCCGAAGCTCATAACTGAAGGACATGCTAAATTTCAGTAAGCGATTAGAAGAACTAAAAATGAAAATGTTTTCCCCACTCAGGGACTCCCTGATTTAAGCTCGAGAGCCTCTCCTTCTGGCATTTTGTGTGAATGTCAAAGTTTACGTGAAAAGAAAACCCATTACAAAATGGTGAATTTCTGGTTGATTCGATTTTTTTTGCCAAAACCAAAAAAAACGAGGAAACGCCATGTGTAAATTAAGTACACACTAGAAAAGCGTATGGAAAATATTTCGTACTTAAAGAAAAGGGAACTACGTGGAGGGGCCGGGCCCAGCGCCCCTCGGCCCGCGGCTTCTCTCCGCCTCTCGGGCGGGCGGGCGGGCGTCAGCCCTCGGGGCGGCCGAGCGCGGGACTCGCAGCCGGCTCCCGAAAGACGCCGCCGGTCGGTCCAGGTGTCGCGGCGCACGACGCGCCGGCCGGGCCTTGGCTGCTGACTTCGGTGAGGCCTGGATGGCCTTCCTCGCCCGCTGTGTGGCCTGCGGTCGGTGCCAAGCGTCTCTGAGTCCCCTTTCCTCACCCGCGCGCGGCCGGCGTCCCTGCTCGGCTGCTCTCGCGGCCCGCTGCGGTCGCCCCCGCGGCGCAGGGCGCGGTGGGAGCACCCGGAGCCACACAGGCGGGCGCGGGGACTGGCGACGGCGCGGGGCGGGCAGATTCGGGTTCGAAGGCAGCGTTTCCGCCCCTCAGAACCGCCTGGGACGAGGACAGGCAGCCCGGGGTTGGCCAAGGAGGGAACTCAGCCGTTGCCTCCTACCCATTGATCATAAATCGGAATTTCCGTGTCGGACCCCCATCCCTCTCCACCGTCTGCCTTTCAGAAGCGTGTCCGCGCGCGCGGGGGACCCGAAGGCGAGCAAGCTTGCAGGGACGTGCTGGGCGTGACGTGTGGGAACCGTTACTTCTGCTGCTCTAGGTGTTGCCATATCTCAAAATGCGGTGGATATAAGCGACAAAGTTCGCACTGTCCCAGGATTTCATTTGAGTGGGAATAAACCAAAAAGTTGAACACCTCCTCTCCGCGACCGCGGCAGGACTCGAACCTGCAATCTTCTGATCCGAAGTCAGACGCCTTATCCATTAGGCCACGCGGCCGCCTACTGACCAGGTCTTTTGAGCAACCCATAAAATATTACTACAGGCCCCAGCTACCTCGGGACCAACCCACCTGCTCTCTGAGCAGGGGAGGTTGGACCTTGGTTCCGGCGTTCCGCAGGGAGGGCCCACCCGGAAGTTCCCCGTTCTCCCCCCGCTGGCGGACCGCTCCATTGGCGGCCCTCCTATTGGCCGCGCTGGGAGTCTCCCGCCTGCCTCTCGGGTAGCCGCGGGACCGAGCTGGGTGCAGACGGGAAGTTGCGGCTGCCAGCTAGGCGGACTGGTCGGGTGGAGGCCACACGCCACCCCGAGGCTGCGTAGGCCGCGCGAACGGGGACACCGCGTCGTTGGCCTGGGGTCGGGGGAACCGCAGACCGGGAAGCGCCGGGCGGACCGAGGTTTCCGGCGGGTTCGGCGCGGGGGCGGCCAGGTCGCTGAGCGGCGGCGCGGCCCCTCCCTCTCCAGTCAGGGAGCGGGCCCGGAGCAGGGCGGCGTCTTGTCCCAGGGCGCACCGCGGCGCCGCCTCCGGGTGTCGGCGGGCGGCCGGGCGCGTGGGGGCGGCCGCAGACGCCCCCTGCAGGGCGCCCTCGGCCCGCTGGGCACGGTCCCGCGTGGGTGGGGGCCCCGGGGACGCGGCCTGTCTGGCAGGTTCGAGTCCGGGCACGGGCACCTCTCGGCGCCAGGCCCTTGGGTCGCGGCGGTCGCGGTAATGGCAGCCACCGTTTGCCAGGCGCTTGCCGAGGGCAGGGTCGCTCGACGTATGCTCCGTGTCACCCAAATAAGTAGTCCTGCGTGACGGGTAGAATCCGTATCCCCATTTCACAGAGTAGGATATTGGGGCCTAAGGAACTTGCCCAAGGTCACGCAGCTCGTGAGAGCCAGAGCCGGGGTTCAGACCTGAGTCGTCCTGCTGCAGAATCTGTGCTCTTAACCGCTGCCTTCGGCTCCCCCAAGTTCACCGATGAACCTGCGTGGACCTCAGTTTCTTCAGGAGGGGTATTGATGTTCCCCAAGGTGGTTTGAGGCTTCACGGAAACTACCTAAAGTGCCTGGCGCAGTGCCTGGGATGCAGTCAATGCTCTGGAATGGTGACTGTTTATACAACGCGTGGTACGTATGTAATAAGTAACACTTTGTATCGTCTATCTCCTTTAGGGTTTGTGGCTGGAAAGCAGGCATGGTCAGACCCATTTCACTGGCAGGAAAACAGAGACAGGACGTGTCTCTCTGCAAGACTTTCATCCAGTAAAAGCAGCCAAGCTGGAGCCCAAAGCCAGGTGTTCTGACTCCCAGCGGGGGGCTCCCTGCACCAACCATGAGTCGCCTGCTTTGGAAGAAGGTGGCCGCCGCCACCGTCGGGCCAGGGCCAGTTCCAGCTCCAGTGCGCTTGGTCTCCGTCTCCGTCCCCGTCTCCAGCGACGGGCAGCAGCAGCCGCAAGTGCAGTCCTCGGAGGGCGGGCAGCTGCGGCACAACCCGTTGCACATCCAGATGCTCTCGAAAGGGCTGCACGAGCAAATCTTCGGGCACGGAGGGGAGATGCCCGGCGAGGCCGCAGTGCGACGCAGCGTCGAGCACCTGCAGAAGCACGGGCTCTGGGGGCTGCCAGCCGCGCCCTTGCCCGACGTGGAGCTGCGCCTGCCGCCCCTCTACGGGGGCAACCTGGACCAGCACTTCCGCCTCCTGGCCCAGAAGCAGAGCCTGCCTTACCTGGAGGCGGCCAACTTGCTATTGCAGGCCCAGCTGCCCCCGCAGCCCCCGAGCTGGGCCTGGGCGGAGGGCTGGACGCGGTACGGCCCCGAGGGGGAGGCCGTACCCGTGGCCATCCCCGAGGAGCGGGCCCTGGTGTTCGACGTGGAGGTCTGCTTGGCAGAGGGAACTTGCCCCACGTTGGCGGTGGCCATATCCCCCTCGGCCTGGTAAGTAGGGGCTGGGGACAGGGGACTTTCACACGCATGGGGGCACAGCTAGTTTGTTTCAGTGAACATTTACTGAGATCCTGTTATGTGCTGGGTGCTCATCTGGGGACTGCTGATGTGGTGGTGACCTAAACAAGCTTGACCCCTGCTTCCGTGGGACTCTCTCTGGTAGGAAGATACAGGCAGTAAACAAACATCCCAGTAAATGTTAGGTGGTGCTAAGGGCCAGGCAGAGAATCAGTAGATTATTATACTTGAGACCTACCATGAGACCACTTGAGATCACTATGATTTGGTGCCTTTACCCCCTTCCCCAGATAGCTTCATGAGAAGTTAGTCAGAAAAGACATTTGAGCAATGTTTCTATGCGGGGATGCTATTGGTTATTTCGAGCCTGAGGAATCTCCCTTTTGTGGGACTGTCCCAGGTAGTACAAGACATTTATCCCTAGCCTAACCAAATCCCCTCCAGCGTTTCCAAATACCCGTTGGAGGTGGCACCCCCTCCACCACCGCTAGCTGAGAAACATTGCCTCCTTCCCCTAGCCTTCCATGCAGGCATTTTGTCCCAAACAGGTGTATCCAATCTCTCTTTTCTTTTTAAATAACTTTCTAAGTGCTACCTAAGTTTCTTTTTCAAACAATGATGGCAGTACTGTTTCTCCCCTTTTTTATTCTTCATTCCAGGATTAAAATACTATTTACAACCTTAATGCTTTCAGGCATGGCCAGCAAAAAAGTTGGCAGTTTCTTTATTCCTATTGGAAGCTACATCTTTGTAAAGAAAGCTGCGAAATGTTAAATATGCAGTTGAAAATGGTGAAAACATGGCTAAATAGATAAGGTAGGCATTAATGGCTGAAAAGAGCAAAACTAGATGATTCTGCATTGATTGAGTTCCAATTACTAAGAATCACAGTACTTATTGTGTAACTTGATGGTCAGAATAAAGGGGAATGCCGGCCATCATTTGTAAAGATAAAGTAGGCTTTGGTGGCGGAAAGAAAATTTGGAAACCAGCGACAAGAAAGATTTGTTTTTTGATCTGTTGGTCATTTTTTGGCCAAATTACCTAAAGTCCCTTTTCTTTTCTCTTCCTCCTCCTTCCTCTCCTAACTGGTTATCTCTCCTTTCCCTCCCTGTCCCTCCCATTCTGCCCTCATTCTCATTCCATTCTTGCCCATGGCATGGGGGCATTGCTTAGTTTGCCAGATGGCAGAAGTCATTACTAAGGCCTGGGCTCATGCTGGGACCCTCCTCCTGAGGGTCTGACTGTGGTGGGTGGGGTGGGGTGCCAGATGGTACCCCCATAACAGTCCACTTTGAACCTGGGTACGCCCCTGCCACATGGCCATGTAACATTAGGTACCTGACCAGCCTACAATTTCCAGAGGAGAGTGAAGCCTTGGATGGGCTCCCACAAGGCAGCTTCCCAAAAGCCATTGGTAAGGGCTTTCTTTGGTTATCAGGCTAGAGGGACAGCACTCAGCCCATGTCAGAATGTATCTATGATTCACATGAAAACTGTAGGATAATGGCATGGGTTCCAACTCATCTTAAATCTAGCAAGGGGCTTGCCTTTTGGCTTTCTTTTTTATCACAATTAAGTTTATAATAAGTAGGCTTCATGCATAGCTGTAGACCTGCATCTTGACACCAGTGTGGCTTTTTATTTATTTATTTTTTTGAGACAAAGTCTCACTCTGTTGCTCGGGCTAGAGTGCCGTGGTGGCAGCCTAGCTCATAGCAACCTCAAACTTCTGTGGGCTCAAGCGATCCTCCTGCCTCAGCTTCCCGAGTAGCTGGGACTACAGGCATGTGCCACCATGCCCAGCTAATTTTTTTCTCTCTATATATATTTTAGTTGTCTAGCTAATTTCTTTCTATTTTTTTAGTAGAGACAGGGTCTCGCTCTTGCTCAGGCTAGTCTCGAACTCCTGAGCTCAAACCATCTGCCTGCCTCAGCCTCCCAGAGTGCTAGGATTACAGGCATGAGCCACCTTGCCCGGCCTGTGGTTTTTTATTATAATTAAAGTCCCTGTCCTCACCATAGCCTTGACTATGTGGCATCTTTAGCCTTCTTCTGTGTTATCTTCAAGGGCCTTGACATGCTGAATTGAAAAGGTGGGGGGCTTTGGCCCCCTGGCATATTCCCACCATTCAGAGTGTGAGTTAGATTTGCCAGATTTAAAACTAGGAACTTCTTTTTGCTTTCCCTTTGAAAGAAACTAGTTTTATGTTTGTTGAATCAGTTGGGGCAGATACTCCCTTTTCCTTTCTGTAAAGGTTGCAGGAGCTCCTCTGCAGCTGTGCTGTCCACACATGTGGCCTCGTCACTCACTTTGATGCCAAGCCGGCTTGACTCTTTGGAACAGTCTAGTTTGCAACAGGCGTTTTCTCACTGGCCATTCCCCGACACTTAGTCTTGTGGATTTTGAGCAAACTGTAGCCTTTTCCTGAACCAGTGTCAGGCCCCCAACAGGCAGAATTCATCCCTGTCCCCCTACCCCAACCCTAGCACATGTGCATATATTTTCTCATTCTGGTACTTTCCCTGGTCTCTCCCTGAGGGTAGTAGCTTCTACAACGTGCGTGATTTGCTCTTTGTCCTTCAGAATCTTTTCAGCTGTTAGATGATTCATCCTGTACATGTATGCAGCATTTGTCTTTTTTTTTTTCTTTTTGCCACTTCAATTTAAAAAAAAATCTTTCTTTTGGGTTCTATTATTATTGTCTGTCTCGTTTACTAGCACCTTGGACATGAACTGTTTCATGCCTATAGACACAAGGGGTTGGTATGTTTATAGGACACCTCAGAGGCAGACATGGACTCAGTGAACACTGGGCCTAACAAACACCCCGATGGCCCATGCTAAATTTTTAGCCTGCATGTGGCTCCCGTTACTGTAGCACTTAGGCCCATTTTTATCTGTGGAAGTTTAAAGAAGCTTTTATAGCCCCTGACCCCCAACATACACCCCCCCACTCCACCTGACCTCTATCTCTTCGAGGGTTAGGAGCACCCCTTGGTCTCTCTTGTGTCCCCAGCTGCTAGTGTAGGAGCTGGCATGTGGTGGTAGGTGTGCAGTGGGTGTTGCGGAGCTGAGGTTTAATGCCTCCATGGGGAACCTGCCTGCCTCTCACCTCCTTCAGGTATTCCTGGTGCAGCCGGCGGCTGGTGGAAGAGCGTTACTCTTGGACCAACCAGCTGTCGCCGGCTGACCTCATCCCCTTGGAGGTCCCTGCCAGTGCTGGCAGCCCCACCCAGAGAGATTGGCAGGAGCAGTTAGTGGTGGGGCACAACGTTTGCTTTGACCGAGCCCATATCAGGGAGCAGTACTTGATCCAGGTAAGGTTCCTGGGGCCAGTGGCAGGGTCTGGTGTGGGGTGGGCTAGGAGCTGCGTTCTCGGTGCCTAGGGAAGACACTGCTTTCCTGGCTGGTGTCTCCATTCTCTTCACAGCAGCCACCTGTTGCAGGGCTACTTGTTGACTAGTTCTGTCTCTAATATTTGTATGCAGCTGTACTGTCCCCAGTACAGGACCTGAGTCCTGATAGAGTAATAACGACCCTTATCTCTTTGTGGTACTTAGAGCTTAGCATGGGTCTAAGCCACAACCTAGGGTCACATCCTGCCTCGGCCACTGATAGGTCACTGATAAGCCCGGTGAGCTCTTTAACATCTGTAAGCTGAGCCTAATTCCGTTTTTTATAATAAGAGATAACAAGCTACCTCACAGGATCATTAGGAGGGTTTGAACAACACATACATGTCAAGAGCTCCAAACTGAGCCCGGTTTGTAGTAATGGCAGTTCTTAATTTTATGGAAAGTGCTTTGCGTTTTATCTTCAAGACAGCCCTAGGAGAAAGGCAGGACAGGGGAAAGCAACCTTAGCCTGTAGCTGAGGGTGCTAAGGCTCAGATAGCCTTGTTGACTTGCCCAGGGCCATAGAGTTTGTCAGTGGCAGGGCTAGGGCTGGGGACCAAACCCCAGAGCTCTGAAGGCCTTGTTTTGGCTGCTCTTAGCCAAATTGCTCATAGCTGGTACTGGAAGCTGGGAAGGACTTGCATGTTGGGATTGAGCCAGGCCTGCACCTTCAGTGGTCGCTAGGATTTGGGAGGGCAGGCCCCTTCCAGGTTGCAGGGCAAGCATGAGCACGGTGAAGGCTCTGCATTTCTTGTTGGAGGTGGTGTGCTGGGAGGGGGTGCTGTGTGAGGAGCTGTGGCAGGTCTGGGGGTCAACACACTGAAGCAGTGGTAGGCTGGCCCAGAGCGGCAGTCTCCCTCCTTCCCTATCCTCTCCTCCTCCTCCTCTGTCTCCTCCTCAGGGCTCTCGCATGCGCTTCCTGGACACCATGAGCATGCACATGGCCATCTCAGGGCTAAGTAGCTTCCAGCGCAGTCTGTGGATAGCAGCCAGGCAGGGCAAGCACAAGGTCCAGCACGCCACACAGAGAAGCCGCAAGTCCCAGAGGAGAGCCAGCGGCCCAGCGGTGAGAGCTTACTGTGGGTGGGCAGGAGCCCGGGTGCTTGGGACCCACTCACCAGCCTGCCTGTCTGCCTGAGGCCAAGCCAATCTGCCGTATCCCTTGCTCTGGCCCCAGATCTCGTCCTGGGACTGGCTGGACATCAGCAGTGTCAATAGTCTGGCAGAAGTGCACAGCCTCTATGTGGGGGGGCCTGCCTTAGAAAAGGAGCCTCGAGAACTGTTTGTCAAGGGCAGCATGAAGGACATCCGTGAGAACTTCCAGGTACGGTGCTGGAGAGGGACTCTGGGAGATGGCTGTGGCAGACCCCTGGCTGAACTCAGGGAGATACAGCTGCCAGGCCTGACTTTGAGGCCTGGTGCTGGTAGTGGGATGGCTGCCCACCCTGCACCTTCCTGTCACCTTGTGCCAGGACCTGATGCAGTACTGTGCCCAGGACGTGTGGGCCACCTTTGAGGTTTTCCAGCAGCAGCTACCACTCTTCTTGGAGAGGTGAGGGGGAGCCCATGTGGGACTCTCTGGGGCTCAGTGGGTTCCTCGGAGCTGGGCCTGCTGCAGTCAGGGGGTGCAGGTTCTTTCTCAGGCTGGGGACCTTAAGCTTTTCTAGGCTGAAAGAATGGAGCCCCTCTCTGTCCAGTGGTGTCCGCTGGGGCTCTGGATTTGATTTCCACAGAGGCCCTGGAGGGGAGAACCGAGGGTTTGTGCTTGTGTTCCATGGGCATAGTCCTGGTTCACTCTGCACCTTCTCTGAACTCACGTCCTGAGCCAACAAGGGCTTCTCATCCATCCTGCTTATGTGTATCAGTGAGTTAGTCCATGACGTCAGTCATGAGCATCAGCCAGACATTGTTAAAATCTTGATGTTTGTATCCTACTCATTTGCCCTTGGGCAACTTACTTAGTTTCTCTGAGCCTCTGTGGTCTCACGTCTCTGAGCAACATGTACAGATATGCAGTTGGCTCTTGCATAGGGTGGAGGTTAGGGGCACCAGCCCCTTTGCAAACATTTGGGCGTAACTTTTGACTCCCCTAGGATTTAGCTACTAGTAGCCTGCTGTTTACCAGAAGTGCCCTTAGTGATAACATAGTGATAACTTAGTGATAACAGTTGATTAATACATATTTGGTGTTATATATATCATATGCTGTATTACCATGAAGTAAGCTAGGAAACATATTTTACTACTTATTAAGTGGATCATCATAAAGATCATCATTCTTGTCTTCATGTTGAGTAGACTGAGGAAGGTTGGTCTTGCTGTCTCTGGGGTAGCAGAGGCAGAAATAAATCAGCACATAAGTGGACCCATGCAGTTCAAATCTGTGTTCAAGGGTCAGCTGTCCTACTCTAGTTGTGAGGTCCATATATGATCATTTGTATGTATGGGGCTCTTCGTACAATGCCTGGCACGCAGTCTTTACTCAGCAGTTGCTGGCCATTCTTATTTTTGTGATCTATAATTCTCACATTATCCCTGAGGATGTGATGATATGGTTTCCATTTTATAGGAGAAGGAACGGAAGCTCAGAGAGATGAGGTGACTTACGCAGGGCTAGGTAGCAGCGGAGCTGGGACGAAATCCCTGTGTTTGACGTTAGAGCTGTGCCGTGGGGGTGTTGGGCTGAGGCTTGCCAGACTGACTCAGGGATTGGGCCAAAGCCTTGCCTCCTGTGAGTATTTGTGGCAGCTCTTGCTGTTGGCCCCCAAGGTGTCCCCACCCGGTGACTCTGGCTGGCATGCTGGAGATGGGTGTCTCCTACCTGCCTGTCAACCAGAACTGGGAGCGTTACCTGGCAGAGGCACAGAGCACCTATGAGGAGCTCCAGCGGGAGATGAAGAAGTCGCTGATGGACCTGGCCAATGACGCCTGCCAGCTGCTCTCAGGAGAGAGGTAGCCAGGCCTTGGGTGGGCAGGATCTAGGCAGGGGATAGGCAGGTGGGAGGCTGGGCCTTTGGCCTGGCCTTAGCCCTGTCCTAGTGGACTGGCTCTGCAGGTACAAAGAAGATCCCTGGCTCTGGGACCTGGAGTGGGACCTGCAAGAGTTTAAGCAGAAAAAGGTTAAGAAAGAGAAGAAGAAGGAGCCGGCCACAGCCAGCAAGCTGCCCATCGAGGAGGCTGGGGCCCCTGGAGGTCCCATGGATCAGGAAGGTGGGGAGCATGGGTGGGAGGTGGGACAGGGCTGGTCCCTGGGAAGGTCTTAGGACCCAGGGGGCTTTGGAAGGTGTTGCTCCAGCTTTCTGGAGATGAGCAGGTGGGAGTAGGTCTTTCTGAGAGTTCCTTCTCCTGGTCCTGATTGTCATCCCTACTCCACACAGACCCTGGGCCCCCCAGTGAGGAGGAAGAGTTTCAGCGAGATATCATGGCCCGCACCTGCTTGCAGAAGCTGAAAGCGACCACAGAGCTTCTGCCCAAGCGGCCCCAGCATCTCCCTGGACACCCTGGGTGAGCCTCGTCTTCCCGCCTGTGCCATCCTCGGGACACCTGGTCTGGGCTCCAGCACAGAGGTGGTGTGCGTGTGTGCTGTGTGCTTGTTTGTCTGCTGCCGTTTGTCTACTCCACCTGCCCATCCTACTCTGGTTCACGTCGGCCCGCTGGCTTCTCAGACGCACTCAGTACGGGGCCCCAAGCGCCTGCTGTGTGCAGCCCACGCGGCCACAGGCGAGGGCGCAGCTCCTCCTTTCCACTAGTCCCTTTCTCCCGCAGGGAGCCAGGCGTGCAGCCCGCGCAGCTGGTAATGTCCATGGTGAGACGCAGGGTGTGCGGTGTCAAGGCAGTTCTGACTCTAGGGGAATCAGGGAAGGCTTCCTTGAGGAGATGGCCCTTCATTTGCGCCTCTTGGCATGGCAGAGATGAGAAAAAGGCAGCCAGTGTAAACAGTAGGGTGCCGACTTTGTACCTGCATAACCCTGGGAGTGAGTGCCTTGGTGGCCTCACCCTGGTCTCAGCCCTGGCGAGCAGCCTGTGAGAGACGGAGCTCAGGGACTGGTGTGGCTCTGGAGCAGTGGGGAGGTCTGATGGACGGGTGGGGCAGAGCTGCTCCCTTCTCTGGCCAGAGTCACCCTGGATCCAGCCCTGGGCTAGGGTATGCTTGCATGTCCTGGCTTCTGACTTGTCCACTGAGACTGACTTAAGGTCTTTCCTTTTGAGATATTCTATGGGATTACATGGGGGTCCTTGCCAAAGCACCCCAGAGGAGAGGATGGTGACCGTAGGCTAGGGTCACCAGAAAGCCTTGGAGGGTGGATGGGGCACATGATGGTAGAGAGAACCTCCCCCCAGCAGTTCTCCCCCTACCACTGACATTGCTGTCTTCCTGCTGGAACATAGGTGGTACCGGAAGCTCTGCCCCCGGCTGGATGACTCTGTGTGGACCCCGGGCCCCAGCCTCCTCAGCCTGCAGATGCGGGTCACCCCTAAACTCATGGCACTGACCTGGGATGGCTTCCCTCTGCACTACTCAGAGCGCCATGGCTGGGGCTACCTGGTGCCTGGGCGGCGGGACAACCTGGCTAAGGTGACAACAGGCCCCACCCTGGAATCAGCTGGAGTGGCCTGCCCCTACAGGTAGGGAAGGGGAGGAAGGGGCTGTAGCCTAGGGACCCCTTCTGGCTGGAGAGGGTCAGCTCAGGCTAGCAGGAAGAGCTTGGGTCTAAAAATCTGGGTTCTAGCCCTTTTTCCCATGGCTCCCTTTCCCCTCTGGGCCCCAGAGCCCTGGTGGGACATTGAGATGGTTGGTGAGCGGGGAGGACCAAGGCCCCACTTTTGGGCCCGTGGCACAGCTGCCTTCGTGGGGGCGTGCAGAGGGAAGTCAAAGGGGAGGTGGGCTTTTTTTCCTCTTTTGAGTGTATTGAGAGCTCATGGGCCCAGGCACTGTGTTAATAAACTTCTTACAGTGTTTCCCTCATTTGTTGTAGCATGGTTATCCTCACTTTATAGCTGAGAAAGGCCTGGGGAAGTCAATTGACTTACAGGCGTTGGGAAGCCATGGCACTTGCAGTGGCCCAGCTCTGCAGGGCTGGCTGAGTCACTTGTGGGGCCTTTGGAAGGGAGGGACTGAGATTGACCTTCCTCCTTTCAGCCGGAAGGTGGGTGAGCGGCAGGAGTGAGCCGGGGCTGGGCTCAGGGTCCTGACTTCCCACTGCTGGGCTCCCAGAGCTGCTCTTGAGGAAGTGGCAGCTCTGTGGTGTAAGAAGAGCTTGGGTTTGAGTCAAAGCAGGCCTTGAAGCCCAGCCTGCCCCCAGTGCGCTGTGTCATTTTCGGTTTGTCACTCCTTGTCCAAAAACCAGGGAACATGCCGCCCACTTCTGCCTCAGAGCTGATTCTGAGGACTAAACAGAGGGAACTGTGGAAGGCCCCCAGCCAGGCCTGGCCCGGAGCGGGCATCTTGTAATCAGCGGCTGCTGCTGCTGTTCTCTGCGCAGAGCCATCGAGTCCCTGTACAGGAAGCACTGTCTCGAACAGGGGAAACAGCAGCTGGAGTCCCAGGAGGCAGGTGTGACTGAAGAGTTCCTGCTCAGTGACAGTTGTGACATATGGCAGACGGTGAGGGCAGGCTCACCAACCTGAGCTCTGGGGAATGGGTCTCTGTTCTCCCAGGGAAGGGGCAGCCCTTTTGGGTGGGAGGCTGGCGACTGGTTGTTGGAGTACCCTGCAGGGAGGGGGCTGGTAGATTTGGGCCCACCCAGGCCTCTGTTTCACTCCTTGGGTCCCTGGGCCCATCCAGGTGGAAGAACTGGGCTACTTAGAAGTGGAGGCCGAGGCCAAGATGGAGAACTTGAGAGCTGTGTTTCCAGATCAACCCTCGGCCCTGGTGAGTGAGGCTCTTGCTTAGGGGTTCCCTGGGTGGGTGCTGGGCAGCAGGGGCTTCCTTTTGCCCCTGTAGCTCTTGCCCACCAGAGTTCCCTAGGTGGGGTTGGAGATGGTGCCCTATACCCCTGGGTGGCCCCACACATCATGGAGGCCAAGGAGGAAGCCTGAGACCTCATGGCCATCCTGCCATTTACCTGCTCACGGTTTCAGGCCCTTTTCCCACCTCCCCGCCCCATGGCCCTTGCTGAATGCAGGTGCTGGAGCAGGGCCTGATCTAGGTGTGTGGGCCCCACAGCCTGCTGCTGGTGGCCCCAAGGCCAGCCAGCCCACCTATCACCATGGCAATGGACCTTACAATGATGTGGATATCCCTGGCTGCTGGTTTTTCAAGCTTCCTCACAAGGTGTGTGCCCTGGTTCATGGGCTGTCCTGTGGTGTCCTGTGTTCAAGGCCCACAAGCGGGCCTCCAGAGTGACTCAAACTGGGAAACTCCTTTTTTGCACAAAGGACAGTAGTAGTGGGACAGAGAGATTTCAGGCAAATAGCCTTGTCTCTGAGCTTTTGTTTTCCTTTTGAAAAGTGGGTGGTGAGGGGCATGGTGGCATTTAAGTGTCTGGCACATCTGGTACATGATAGGTCCTATTGACTGATCTGTTATAGGGGAGCCAGGTTTGCTTGTGTCTGAGTGTCTTAGTCCTCTGTGCGTGCGTGTGCACCTGTGCACGATGTATTTGAGGATGTGCCCCAGGCTGCTTGAGGTTCTGGGCTCAGTGTTGAGGGGCCCAGGTGCTCATGTTGGTTCCCCACCCAGAGATCTGCCACCTACTTCCAGCCCGTTCCCTCTCCAGGATGGTAACAGCTGTAATGTGGGCAGCCCCTTTGCCAAGGACTTCCTGCCCAAGATGGAGGATGGCACCCTACAGGCTGGCCCAGGAGGGGCCAGTGGGCCCCGTGCCCTGGAAATCAACAAAATGATTTCTTTCTGGAGGAATGCTCATAAACGCATCAGGTGGGCCACCGTGGGAGGGCAAAGACAAGCTTTCCTGGACTCCTTGTCAGGTTTCTGCAGTCCTGGGACTCCTTTCCCCCTTTACCCACCCAGGGGCCCCTGACTCAGCCCGAGCTGCCACAAAGGGACAGTCCAGCTACCATGGTCTGGAGGCCTGGCTACTTCTTGTCCTGGTGCCCTGGACCTTGGGAAAGCCTCTCTCCTTCTCCAGCTTCAGTTTCCCTGTTTATGTAAAAATGATGGTGCTGTAGGACCCTGACGGCCCCTCAGCTCTAAGGGAACTCCTTGGTGTAACTGCTGGAGCCGTGGGGTCTGGCCGAGGACCTTGGGGCTGTGAGCTCTTTTGGGGCTGGAAGCTGGGTCTAGTAGTCTGGGAATGGCAAATGGATTCATTTTGAAGGCCATATCTAAGCTGGTTGTAGCCACCAGTACACTCTTGTGAGCAGACCGCTGTGATGGGTGCTGAAGCCAGCCCCATCACTGCTTCCCAGTGTGGGAAGCAGCACCTCAGGGATACCCTGGGGAAGAGGCAGGAGCTGCCTCAGAAGTCTGGCCAGGCCCAGAAGGCTTAGCCCCTGGTTGGCATGTCGTAGGGCCCCAGGTCTCGCCCCGAGTCGAGTTAGTGAGGCTGGGCACCGAGGGAGCACAGCAGCCCTGACTCTGGGCAGGTGGGCCATGTGGGATGGGGTGGACTCTGCTTCCCACGGCTGTGCTGAGCCTTGGCCTGTCTGTCCCCACAGCTCCCAGATGGTGGTGTGGCTGCCCAGGTCAGCTCTGCCCCGTACTGTGACCAGGTATGGCCCGCTGAGTGGTTGTGGGGATAGAACTGAGTGGGCATGAGTCCTATGGCCAAAGCAAGCTGCTGAGACCCACTCTTCTCCCTCCAGGCACCCTGACTATGATGAGGAAGGCCGCTATGGGGCCATTCTCCCCCAGGTGGTGACTGCCGGTACCATCACACGCCGGGCTGTGGAGCCCACATGGCTCACTGCCAGCAATGCCCGGGTACGTGTCCTCTGCATCTGTGGCCCCTGCTTTTCTCTCCTAGGTCTCCAGAAACGGAGGTCTTAGAGGGCAAGGTACATGAAAAAGAGCTTAAGATCTGGGTCAAGCAGGACTCCAGTTCAAATCTGGTTTCATGAGTATTATCTAGTCCTTTAGCAAATGTATTTTGGGCACCTGCTTCTGGCCTGACAGTGACAGGCAAAGTAGCCACAGTTGTCATAGAGTTTAGATGAGGGGCCTGCCATTGGACCAGGCTTAGAGATTCTCTTTCACCCCCGTTGCTGGTAAGCAGCCATTTCTGGAACTGTGGAGTTTGGAGCAGTGCTGTCTGGCATTCCCTAAAGCCATTCCCTCAGGACAGGCCCTAGCACTTTGTCAGTGAACTCTGGCTCTAGGAACAGGGCAGGAGGAATCTCACTTGGGTATCTGGGTGGGCCTGACCTCACTCTTCTCACAGCCTGACCGAGTAGGCAGTGAGTTGAAAGCCATGGTTCAGGCTCCACCTGGCTACGTGCTTGTGGGTGCTGACGTGGACTCCCAGGAGCTGTGGATTGCGGCTGTGCTTGGAGACGCCCACTTTGCCGGCATGCATGGTGAGCAGGGGAGGGTGGAGGCAGCCTAGCCCCTCAGGGCCTAGGGCTGGGGAGAATGTTTCTGACCTTTCTCACTTCTGCCTCCTTGTCCTCTAGGCTGTACAGCCTTCGGATGGATGACACTGCAGGGCAGGAAGAGCAGGGGCACTGATTTACACAGTAAGACAGCCACCACAGTGGGCATCAGCCGTGAGCATGCCAAAGTCTTCAACTACGGCCGCATCTATGGGGCTGGGCAGCCCTTTGCTGAGCGCCTACTAATGCAGTTCAACCACCGGCTCACCCGGCAGGAAGCAGCTGAGAAGGCCCAGCAGATGTATGCTGTTACCAAGGGCCTTCGCCGGTGAGGTCCCTCTCCCAGCCACGTTAACGCCCAGGACCTCAGGCCTGCTTTGTTCTTTACTGCTCCTGTCTTGTTCTCTCTTGTCCACTACGTGAGCCCTCACCTGGCCCCTCTCCCTTCATGCTTCTAAGCCTTTAGGGGATAGGCATGACTCCAGGGTGGTCTTGCAAATAAGAGTGAGGTGGTGTGTGAGCACTCCTAGCTCAGGGTGTGGCACAGAGGAGGCACTCCTATGGGAATGATGGTGTGAACTACCTCCAGGTATCGGCTGTCGGATGAGGGCGAGTGGCTGGTGAAGGAGTTGGACCTCCCTGTGGACAGGACTGAGGATGGCTGGGTTTCCCTGCAGGATCTGCGCAAGATTCAGAGAGAAGCCTCAAGGAAGTAAGAACCTTATGTGTGTTAAGGATGGGAGAGGGGTCTGGCCCCAGAAGGGCTGGGATGCTTTTGTTTAGTCGAGATGCTGAAAGACAAAGCCTGTCTTTGTTCTTGGTCTTCCAGGTCCCGCTGGAAGAAGTGGGAAATGGTTGCTGAACGAGCGTGGATGGGGGGCACAGAGTCAGAAATGTTCAATAAGCTGGAGAGCATTGCCACATCTGACGAACCGTGCACCCCGGTGCTGGGCTGCCGCATCAGCCGAGCCCTGGAGCCCTCAGCTGTCCAAGGGGAGGTGTGTTGCTACTGTTGAGTATGGGGAGAGAGGCACAAGAACAGGGCCAGGCTCCCTCTGGGCCTCACTCACCAATGTATGCAAATAGACCGGAGTGGAGCTTTTCCTGGGGCCCCCAGGCCATTGCTTATCCCAGAGTTAACTGGTGGGCGGCAGGGCCCCTCACCTGTGCCCACCTTCCTTTCCAGTTTATGACCAGCCGTGTGAATTGGGTGGTGCAGAGCTCTGCTGTGGACTATTTACATCTCATGCTTGTGGCTATGAAGTGGCTCTTTGAGGAGTTTGCCATTGACGGGCGTTTCTGCATCAGCATCCATGACGAGGTTCGCTACCTGGTGCGGGAGGAGGACCGCTACCGCGCTGCCCTGGCCCTGCAGATCACCAACCTCCTGACCAGGTACGCGGGGCCCATGGCCTTTCTGGCCCGGCCATGTGCTCCTGTGTGGGGCTGTGGGGAGAGCCACTTGAGCCAGGCCGAGCAGTTGTGAGTTTTACCCCCACCCCCAAAATGAATGTTTCAGCTTTTATTCCTAATTTTTAAAAAATTGATAAAAGTTCTATAAAGATTGGCCTCAGTTTTTAAAAAAGATTTCTTGGGTTTGAAAATATCATATACCAAGACTAGATAGCTGAGGTAGTCACAAGATCAGGGGAGTTGTTCCAAAGAGTAGTCCTCAATCTGTGTTCCCCTAGGAACACATCTGTTTTGAAATTAAAATGACAGAAGACTTTCTCAATTCATAGAAAATTGAGATGTTTTTCTTTCACCCATAAATGTTTTCTTAAGTGCCAAAAGTTTGTTTTTCTGACTGCTAACAGAAAACATTGTTAATGGGGAAACTCAAATGTGATTTAAAAAATATATATTTTATATATTGAATTGTATTTTCTTGTAGTCAAATTCCTAGTTCATATGGAAGAATTAAATGATATTACTGTTTCATGTTGCTCTGCCACTCAGAACCAGTTTGGGAACCATGATCTATCCTGAGTAATGGGTAAATAACAAATGTTTATGATATTCAACATTGTCACCATTGCCCTCTTAATCATCTCCTGGGGGTTATGCTTAACAAAGCTAACAAAAAGTCCTCATTTATTCTTCAAACTCTGGCCCAATAATGGAAAGTAATTTTTTTATATTAATAAAATGTACCAAACTGGAAAAAAAAAGTGTGTGTTGAGTCTATATATAATTGCATTTCAGTATGCCAGAGGGAGGTCAGGCTGCTGAAGGACAGTGCTAGCCCTTCGACTTTCTTGGCTTAGCTAAGTGAACAGAGGGGCACTGGCCCCGGGGAAGCCCTGCTCTAAAGGATACGGGGTCATTGTCTTGGAGTGATGAGTCTGTGTTCACAGCAGGGACATGGCTGTGAGAGGAGATTGGGTCTCTTTCAGGTGCATGTTTGCCTACAAGCTGGGTCTGAATGACTTGCCCCAGTCAGTCGCCTTTTTCAGTGCAGTTGATATTGACCAGTGCCTCAGGAAGGAAGTGACAATGGATTGTAAAACCCCTTCCAACCCAACTGGGATGGAAAGGAGATACGGGATTCCCCAGGGTGAGCACAACACATTTGTTTCTTCATTACACATAGGATGGGAGGTAGACTAGAAAGTGGTCTTAGAAAACAGGAAGCTTGGGGCCCCAGAGAAGAAATCCACTCTTGGGTCATGCTATAATTTTGGCTCTTTCAGTTTACAAGGTGCCCTAGGTCCACAGTGAATATGATAGTTGTCAAAAAGGCATGTATGTTTCTAAAAGGCTGTTCATAGTAAATAAAAACATCAGAGCTTCAAATATTTCACCTACACCTGTCCCCCACTTCAACCACAACAGAAATGTTTACTATTAGAGGATTTATTGTATAAAGTCAAAGTGCATTCTTAGGTAAAACAAACAACAAAAACCAAACCTGTGCTTTAAATGCCAAGATGAGTAAATCAGAAAGCTTATTTTCCATTTAAAATGTATCTAAGATAAACTTTTTTTATACAAAAAGAAAACACCCTCCTAACATGTTACATTATTGTTCCTGGCGATCAATTCTCAACCCTTTTACCCTCCTTTTTGACATAAACGTTAAGTTTCTTTTCTCACTTCTGAGCTCTCCGTTACAGTTCTTGAGGCATCCTAACCAGTTTGCACTATCTTTCAGGTGAAGCGCTGGATATTTACCAGATAATTGAACTCACCAAAGGCTCCTTGGAAAAATGAAGCCAGCTTGGACCATAGCTCTGCCTGGAGGCTCTGTATTTGCTCCTGTGGAGCTTCATCGGGGCGGTGCAGGCTCCCAAACTCAGGCTTTCAGCTGTGCTTTTTGTAAAAGGGCTTGCCTAAGGCCAGCCATTTTTAAGTAGCAGGACCTGCTGAGAAGACTCCTTCTAACTGAAGGTGTAGTTGAATTCAGTGGGCTCAGAACCAAGATGCCAACATTGGTATGGGCACAGGACAAGGGGCATTGTTGAAAGCAGAAGCCCCAAAGTTCACATTAACTCAGGCATTCATTTCTTTTTTCCTTTTCTTCTTGGCTGGTTCTTTGTTCTGTTCCCCGTGCTCTGATGCAGTGCCCTAGAGGGGAGAGAAGTAATGCTCACACAACGTGATGTGCCGAGGCAGTGGAAATAAAAAAACAAAAACCCTTTATCTTCTCACCAAAGCCTGTGTTAGTCATGCTTTTCCCCCTTTCTCACTCGTGGTAGGTAATTATGTTGAGGGGAGGCCTCCAAAGTAGAGTAGGGCAGTGCCAACTCCTTCCCTCAGGAGTTCTGTTAACTGAGGAGACTCGTGGGACGAGAGAATGGAGGAGCAGCAATAGGCATCAAAATGCTACATGACCCTTCTGAACTTAAATGCCAAGTAGGTGAAGGGAATGGACGGGCCAGGTGCATTAGGGCTTGGAGAATGATAATCTAGATAGAGAATGTAGGTTGAAAAGTTTCAAGAAGTAAGAAATCCAGGGCATTTTATGTAAACTTCCACTTTTGAAGTGGGAGTGGGTTGATTTGTTACTTTTATCTTAGACAAACCTAAGATGATAACATTTTTAGGTGCCCGAGGTAAGGAAACATTGAGCTCTGCTTCAAGGATGCTGCAGGGATGTCGAAGGAAGCCTTACCTAACTAGTGAGAGTGGTCCTTTGAGGGCATGATATAAAAAGTAAACTGGTTTCTGAGCCTGACTGCTCTAGCTGGTCATCGTCCAATGGTTTAAAAGATAACGGGGGAAGGACACAGCAAAAACATTCTTTCATTACCACCCTCTTTCTGGAAGTGTCTAACAAAAATTTGTACAAGTTTGGGCAACTTCATAGGATTTTGTGTGGTCCAAAGTTTTACAGTCCTCCTCTTGAGGGTCCTTAGTTTTCATCTTTGCCTGACCACCTTTTCCCAGTCTGTTGGATGTTGCCCTTCACTAATCTGTGGCTATGCCCAGACAGGCTTCTAGCAGCCGGCTTCCTGTGCTCCAGACAGAAGTAGGTACTGACCTCTTCATTTTCATCCTCCCCATCTCGAAGAACCATGTCCAGGATGTTTCCTTTGATCTTGAAGTCTCGTGAGGTGCTGAGTTTTATGTGCTGCATCAGGTTCACCTGTGACAGGATTATAAGCACAGGAGCATTTTTGTACTCAGATCCTGCCAGGATAGCTCCGGGGGTCCTCAAACTTTTTAAACAGGGGGCCAGTTCACTGTCCTTCAGACAGTTGGAGGGCCTGACTATAGTTTAAAAAAACTATGAACAAACTATGCACACTGCACATCTTATTTTGAAGTAAAAAAACAAATGGACAAAAACACCCGCATGTAGCCCGTGGGCTGTAGTTTGAGGACGCCTGGTTTAAACCATTTTTAGTGTACCTCTGACAAACCCTTCAGTTCCTACTTTAAGCATACACCCATTTGACCTGTGTTTGGATTCAGGCCATCAGATCAAAAATAGCAAAGAAACGGAAATGGATCATGGTTTAATTTTTTTCCCCATTGCAGTTGTGCTGCTTCAGTTTGCCAGATCCTCTTACTAGGGTAAGTGGAAATGGTAACCATAAGAGTATGCTTACCTTGGACCTCTTAGAAAGGTGGATGAGAAATTTTTCATACTGTTCAATGGCAAAGATGAGGTTAGGGATTGGCTTGGTTTCTCGAAGAACTCTGGCCTAAGGGCAAAGAAGACAAATGACTTAAGTTTCAGGTTCAGTGGTTTGTTTTGTTTTTTCTTTCCTTCCTATCTTTATCCATCAGTACATTCAGTGCTGTCAGTAGCAGCACCGTGTTGTGGCTTTGTGGGAAAACTAGTCTCCCAATCAAATGCAATTTTACTTATATACCAGTAATCTGAGATTTTTTGGCAGTTCAATCTCAAGGGACTCAAATGCCAATAGAGTTTATTGCATTCATTATTCCCATTTATACTCCTAAGTATTTGTTGTTATCTGGAGACTAAGGAGGGCAGGAATATTTACAGAAATTTAGCTGTTTCTGTGACTTGATATTTTTAAAACAAAGAATCTACTCTGGCACTAGCTCTATTTCCTTTTTCTGGTCTGCACATGAATTTTCACTGCTGGGATTATACATCTTCCCCTTACCACCCCTCCCAATTTGAATTGTAGATCCTTTCAAATTTTTTTTTATGTATATACACATGCTTGTGTGTGTGTATATATTTTTTTGAGACAGAGCCTCGCTTTGTTGCCCAGGCTAGAGTGAGTGCTGTGGCGTCAGCCTAGCTCACAGCAACCTCAAACTCCTGGGCTCAAGCAATCCTTCCTGCTGCCTCAGCCTCCTGAGTAGCTGGGACTACAGGCATGTGCCACCATGCCCAGCTATTTTTTCTATATATATTAGTTGGCCAATTAATTTCTTTCTATTTATAGTAGACACAGGATCTCGCTCTTGCTCAGGCTGGTTTTGAACTCCTGACCTCGAGCAATCCGCCTGCCTCGGCCTCCCAGAGTGCTAGGATTACAGGCATGAGCCACCACGCCTGGCCTGTACATATATTTTAAATGCACAAATAAGGACACTGTTCACCTTGTTCTTATCTTTTTGTTAACAGTACCTCGGAGATAACTATATATAGCTGAATATTTAGAATTGTATTTTTTTCTTATCTGCACAGTATCCTTCAGTATAAATCTACTACAATCTATTTAGGCAATCCTCTGTTAATGGATATCTTAGTTTCCAGTATTTCACTTCTACAAACATGGCCGGGTGTGGTGGCTCATGCCTGCAATTCTAGCACTTTAGGAGGCCAAGGCAGGAGATCACCTGAGGCCAGGAGTTTGAGGCCAGCCTGGGCAATGTAGTGAGACCTTTAAAAAAAAAAAAGATTATTTTAAAAAAAAAATTAGCTGGATATGGTGGCATATACCTATAATCTTGGTTACTCAAGAGGCTGAGGCGGGATGATCCCTGGAGCCCAGGAGCAGTGAGCTTGAATTAGGTGACAGAGTAAGACTCTGTCTCTAAACAAACAAATAGTGGATGTTGCTAGGCCCATCCTATACACAGGCCTTTATATCCTAAAAATGAAATTGTTAAAGCAGAGTGTGTGTATATCTCCCAGAATTCAATAGTTACTGCCAAACTATCCCCTTGAGAAGTTTAACTAATTTTTGCCTTTACCAACAAAGTACTAAGTACTGACTTTCCAGTACCCTCACTAACTCTTACAGATCCTTTAGGGAGGACCTTTTGCGTTCACCAGCGTTTTCTAAAAAGTTTCTTTCCAATGGGTACCCTAAGCTATTTCATTATTTCTATTTCAGCTCAAGATTTTCTGGTGTTTCCTGAATAAAATATGTTTTGGTTCAGAGGAAAAATAAGATGATCCATCTGATCATAAAATCTGTAAGTTAAGTAGACATACATAATATGTCCACATATTTTGTGGTAACAGCTTTATTGAGATATAATTCACATATTATACAACTCACAGTGTATAATTGAGTAGTTTGGTTTTCTTTTTAGTATATTCAGAACTGCACATGACCACAATTTTACATTTTCATCATGCCAAAAGAAATTCCATACCCTTTTTAGCTGTCATCCCAGTCTCCCCATCTGTCTGACACACCTAGCTCTAGGCAACCACTAATCTACTTTGCCTTTTTAGACTTGCCTATTTGGACATTTTATACAAATAGAATCATACATCATGTAGTCTTTTTCTGAATGGCTTTCTACTTAACGTAATGTTTTGAAGGTTCACCAGCAACTGTATTTTAATGATAAGTGTCAGCAGCTTACCATGGCTGTAACAACAGCAGCAGTTTTCTCCTTTTTCTTCTCTCCTGTGTATTTCAGGCCCTGACTCTTCTTATTCTAAAGAAATAGAAACATTCTCTCATTCCTCAAAATTTCTCTGTAGAGCTAGCAGGCTAGTGGTGATTTTCCTAAGTCATTACAATAGAGTATGGGGACTGAGTCTGAATTATCTGTGTAATAGATGCTAGAAGGTGGAAAAAATTTTATGATGCTTTGTAATCTGCAGATATTTTTGTTTTTAATTGTTCTTAGAGGTTGAGGGCAGGACTAACCATTACTGTACTGGGCCAGCCAAGGGGCTGGTGAGATGGGTAAGATGGGGACTGTCATGGTGGTAAGCAGGAATATGCATTTCTATTTCTATTTCAGCCAGCTGCCTAAACGGTTATATAGAGGAAGGAAAGCTGAGTAGGTTGCTGCAGGGGCCTTCGGTCTACCCTCTTAACAGGCATTTACCAGACACATCGTATGTGCAATATAGTTATCATGCTTGAGAAGGGTTTTAAAGGGTCATAGGAACACTTCCTTGTCTTGTAGATTATTGGGTAATAAAGAGCTCCTGGAGAGAGAGAACAACTAATAAAAAAGGACCAAGAAGTACAGGATTCTGGCAAGGCCAAAAAGAATCAATACCTGAGTCAAGAGAGACTGGGGAGAAAAACCACCCACATATGAGGTACATAAGACACAAGAAGCTTTTACCTTAAAGGGGGTTCTATACCTTCTAAGAAAGGAACATACCATGCTCCATGGGGATAAGAAAATAAAAAAGGGACCTCAAAATGCAGAGAAGCTATACCACTGGAACCATAAAACAGAAGGCTTGTTCCACATGCCAAATTCTGGAAAACAAGCAATAGTAGAGGCCAGGCATGGTGGCTCACGCCTGTAATCCTAGCACTCTGGGAGGCTGAGGTGGGCGGATTGCTTCAGGATAGGAGTTCAAAACCAGCCTGAGCGAGACCTTGTCTCTACTAAAAATAAAAAGAAATTAATCGACCAACTAAAATGTATATATACAAAAAATTAGCCAGGCATGGTGGTGCATGCATGTAGTCCCAGCTGCTCAGGAGGCTGAGGCAGGAGGATCGCTTGAGCCCAGGAGTTTGAGGTTGCTGTGAGCTAGGCTGATGCCATGGCACTCACTCTAGACTGGGCAACAAAGTGAGACTCTGTCTCAAAAAAAAAAAAAGTGCCTGGTGATTCACAGAATGGGATCAAAAACACAAAAAGCCAAAACCATTCAACATTTTACATGTCAACAAATATCAAATAAGATTTCAGATGGCAGGGGTTGGCAAACTACACCCATGGTATAAATCTGGACCACTGCCTATTTTTCAGAATACAGTTTCACTGGAAC